TATATATCGATAATTTTTAATCGATATATATCGATTAACTGCTATATATCAATATATATCTGCTTAAAAATTTTGCTGATGTTCTTCTAGCAGCTTGAGGTTTAGATCCTCTATGACCAGTTTGAGCTCCTCAAGCTTTGAGTTTCTTGAAAGTTTAATGTTAAAGCTATTAAGTCTTTTGTGAAGCTTTTGGATATTTTTCTCAATAGCTGATTCAGCTTTAATAGCTTTTGCTATAGATTGGATTATACACTTGTGCTAGTCCTAATCTTTAGTATCTTTGATATTTTGAAGCTCTGTAGTAATATCTGTTTTGAATTCAGGTAAATTCCAGAGTTTTTTGCTAAATCTCCAGAGAGATTTTTTTAGAAATTTGGGCTTGAGGTTGATTTTGCTTTCCACTAGTAGGTGATCAGAATTGCCAAAGTGAGTGCATGTATTCACACAGAAGTGACTGTAGCTTGTTTCAATTAGTATATAGTCTAGACAGGTTGCTATTCTTTGACCACCTTGAGTGGTTTGATAATAAGTAAGAAAAAGACTTTATTTAAAGAAGAGTGCTGTGTCTATATAGTCTTTTGTTAAGTTTTCTAAAAGACCTTTGGATTGGTTATATTGTGCTGGTGCTTGGCTTATCCTATTGGTTTCTGGATTCAAATTGGTGTTAAAGTCTCCTGCAATAATACTTATATTATTATTAGAGGTATCAAGAGACCAGTTTCTAAGGAAAGAGGTTTTTCGTCTAGGCTAGATAGAGCATAAACATTAATAAATGAAAAAGCTTGATATCTAATTTCTGCCTTGGCTTTGGTAACTCGTCTGTTATAAGATTCTTTCTTGTTAGTAAGTTTAATATTCTTTTTGCCTGCTAGTATTGCAGTTTTAGAAGACCAAAAGAAGTTGAAGCCCCAGATTTGTAATAAAAATTGTCTTGTATCTAAGTTTTTTAAATTGGTTTCTTGTATTATAATTATATCTAAATTATACAATTTTAAAAGAGTAAGAGTTTTTTGAGCTTTAGGTCTGTTGTTTAGATCTTTTATATTTAGTGTAGTGATTTTAATCATAGATGTTATAGAGTTTGTAAGCTACACTAAGTAATAATTCTCTTAGTAATAGTTCTTAGGACTCAGAAAATTTTGCTTAGAACTTCCTAGTGTTCTATATAGCTAGGTCTTGTGCTAGCTGTTCTTTTTAAAGCTTTTGCCTTTGTATTTTCTTGCTACTACTATTGTGAAAGAAGTTTCATCTTGTTCCGTAGAGTTAAAGTTAGATTCTTCTGCTTCGTTGCTTAGGTTGGCAGTTGTTTTATTGGCTTCAAGGTTTGTATTAGTATTAGCAGTTAAAGGATCTAGTTCTATGTTACTAGATAAGCTCTCATTGGAACTTAAAGATAAGCTCTTGTTGGAACTTGAGAATAAGCTCTTATTGGAACTTGAGGTTTCCTCAGGTGTTGCAACTGGGTCTGAAACTGTAATTTTCTTTTCATTCTGAATTACTTTGTCTATATCGGTTTTGTATGGGTTGTTAGGGCTAAAGCTAATTTCTGTAGTCTCTGATTTTTGTATTTTTTCCTTCTCCAATCTAGATCTAGCTTCTTTAAGGAGACTTCTAGCTTCTATTGAGTTTTTGAGTTCCTTACAATCTTTCTTAATATGCTCTTCCTTTTCACTGTAAAAACAGATTTTTGGGGCTTCTTTCTATTCTGTCATTCTTTATGATTGCCAATATATATAGTTTTGGGGATTCTTGAAGCAATTTCTGAATCATCTGTAGTTTCAAAGATAATTAACCATTGATCTAAACAGACTGTTGTCTCTTCATAGAAGAGAGGTTTAACAGATGCTATTTGGCCAACATAATGGAAGGCTTCTATAATATGGTTGCTAATAAGTTTGGTATCACCCATAAGGGTGTTCTTTAGTTTTATAATTAGAAAAGATTAGTTGAGATTGACTAGAATGTATCTAAACAGAGTTTGTTTGAAGAGAAAAATGTCTTCAGTTGCATAGTATTGTACTTTATTCTTATTTTTAAGAATAAGTTCGAGGTAGATTCTTTTTCCTTTTGAAATATGAGTTTTCGCTGCTATGAGGTCTTCCTTCAAGCTCATAGCCAGGGCTGCAATAATATCATTGGTTGTATATTGTTTAAGCTTTGAATATCAATAACTAGTATGTTTTCATTCTTTGAGTGAATTCTTTGTCTGGGAGAAGAGTTAGTATAAGTTAACTTCCCTCTCTTTAGCTTCGCAAATAGATCAGACCACTGTTTAGGTTTAAGTTCTTCATTTTGATTGCTTTGTATCTCTGGTGTATTAGATAAAAAAGATTCGTCAGGGTAGTTGGATATACAGAAGTTGATTGGTTGCTTATAGACATGTGTTTCTTTTGTTTGTTGTTTATATTATTTATGTGACTTGTTGTGTTTGGGTAATTTACACGTATTTCTTGTTGACTACAAGAATTTTTACTTTTGCTTTCTTTTGCAGTAGTTTTCTTCTTTTCTATCTGATTCGTCTAGTTTGTATCAGATATATTGAGAGTTAAGTCAATTAATACTTCTGTTCCTGGTCTAGAACTATTATTATTGCTGTTGTTATTGTTGTTGTCAAGTTTTTTGTTGTTTTCTTTGTTTTCTTTAGTTTTTGTAAAGTCAAAAACTTTGTTGCTGTTTGAAGAAAGCTGGCCTTCTTGTTATTTGGTTGCTTACCCATGTCTAGAGTAGTAAGTTCGTGCTTTTTGGACCCCAAGGTCCTTGTCTTGTTAGAAAAATCAAAGATAAAAAATGAGTTTTTTTGTAAAATTTTGATTTCGAGTATTTTTCCAGGAGGAATCAGAAAGAGTTTAGATCTCTTTAAGCGATTTATATATAATTTTCCAGACAATTTTGCTAAGTAGATATTTAGCACAAATTGTTCTATTGTTTGAGTTATATAGAGACAGTTTGAGCAGTCCTCTAAGTTGTTTTGGTCAAAATAAATTAGATAATATTCTAGTGAAAGTGCTCTATAGTTCAGCCTTCAGAAGATATTTTTCTTTTTGTTTAGAACCTATTTTGTTTTTAACTATTTATAAGATATATAGGCTTTGACCTGCTTTTTTGAGTTTTTGTGAAATTGTTCGGTTGGCTTGTATCAACTTTGCAAAGCTTTTCTTATTGTGAATTGTTGTCTGTCTATATTATTTATTTTGATTTGCTCAAGTGTCTATGGCCAAGAGTGGGTTGCATTAATATTACCTTTAATCTTTTCCAAACTGTAATATAAGGTTTTTAGCTATCTGACCACCCTTTGGTTTTGCAAGGTATCTGAAATAAAGCTATTCTAGAGGTTAGTTTTCTTTTATTCTAAAGCTTTATTGTTGCCTTTTCTCTTTCTGTTTTGGCCCAGAAAGCATTGCTTAAGAGAAGTTTGATCCATATTGACAGTAACCTAGTATTGAGTATATTTTTAAAAATTGAAGCAGATAGCTTTCCTTGTTTAGTGCTAAGTTGGAAGGTTGAGTACTATGGTAGTATTCTTGAGTTTTTTTTTATCCAATTGGTAATTAAAGTATTGATTTCATTTAATTGCTTTCTTGTAGATGGCAATAAATAGGTCAAGTATCATATTTTAGAAATAAGTAATGTTTTTGATACTAGAATTTTTTCTTTAATTAATGATCTGTCAGTTAGCAGATCAAATTTTATATGATAAAAATGATACAGATTATATATATATAAGGCTTGAATTAAAGTTTTAAGCTTATATATATGGACAGTAAATTTAAAGTAAATTTAGTTATAAATATAGTACAAATAATAGAGGAATATTATAAGGCTTTGAAATCAAAACTATGAAATATAGAAATTTTTTTACAAAAAGTTTATTTTGGGTAAACGCAGTATTTACTAAGTAAGACTCTATAATAATTCAAATTAATAATAAGCATGCTCAAATTTTTAATAACCTAAATTTTAAAATTTCACACTTAAGCTTTTTATACTACAAATATTAGATCGTTGAAGTTTTTTAGTAAAACAAAACCATTTAACAAGAGCTTATTACTGTATATAGAGAAAGTTGGTTAATTTAAGAGATTTCTTTTATTCAAAGTAATCTATAATATTTTTCTCTAGATCTGTGAATTTTTAGACCTTTTTTTTTTTTTAAAAAAAAAAAAAGAATCCAAAGGTTTTTAAGTTGTTAGTTTTTTTATTTCTTACTAAAAAACCAACTAATCAAAAAAATAGCAGTTAATTATTAAGACAGAATTCTCTAAGTACCGTATTGCACTAATTAACGATTTGAGATCTAAAACGAAATACCTACCAGAAAACTATAAACTTATAATACCCAGATATATTATATAGCAGAGAATCTTTATTGCAAATTAGAGAGATTCAAGTATATATATATTTCTCATTAACGGTATACAATTTAGACTTTAAAAAGAGAGTCGCTCATGATTAGAGCTTTGTTATTCGAATAATCTTTATATTCAATGAATATTTGAATAAGAATTATTCAATAAATAATTCGAATAAGCAAATTTTATTCGAATGATTATAGTGGCTATATATTATTAGTTGCACCACATCTGAAAACAGCATGTTATTCAAATAAATAGTATTTATTCGAATAATATTAGTCATTCAGCGAATATTTAAATAAATATTTGCTGATTTAAGTTATTTGAATATTATTCGAATAAGAAATCAATAAGCTCTACTTACGATTAATAGAATCATTGAAAATTTTATTTTTAAGAATACAGAACTTAAATCTTATAAAAGGTAAGATATTTATTACTTATAATTATCTTTTAAATTGTAGAATATTTTATTTATATGCAATTGTAGAATATTTTATTTATATGCTAATTCAAGCTCGTGTTCTGTTGCTTTAAAGGCTTGAGCATATGAATTTAACCAATTTTGTATTGTTTGAAATTTTGGAACATCCTTCCTTTCTATCTCGCCATCTTCAGCATATTTCAGGAGCTCATCATGCATAGCTTTTGTGCTTATTCTTTCTTCACTTCTTTGATTTCTATATAAAAAAAAATATTTTAACATAGCTCTTACATCTTGTTTTATTCTAGTATTATCTCTGTTATCTAATTTTTGGCTACCTTTTAATGTCCACCCTTTAGTTAACAGAAATTCTACATCTATTATACTACAGTAAAAGTCTATTAACAGGTGAAATAATTATAATATTTATTAGTTTCTTTATACTATATACCTTGAAATTGTGATTAAAACTATAGGATTTAGATAAATTTATTGGATATTTGAATAAAAAGTAGAAAATATATTATATACATATATTAAAGCTATATTACTTACTATTATTTATCATATTTTTTCTTTCATTATTTTGATCCAAATCTGTTTCATCTTTTAGTTTCAAGCAATTAGACCTATTTTTTATATAAGATTAGTAATATAGATACAGTTCTTACCTTTATCATATTCTTCTTCAATTAGAGTAAGTAAAGTATATAATTTAGATCTAAATTTGAGAATTTGTTAAATTTGTTTGAACAACCCCATAATACTCACTAGGCCTTGTATTTATTGGAATTGTCTATGTAAATTTTATTAGTTGTAGCTTATGAAGTAGAATATTCAAAAGCTGATTTAAGTATGCAGAAAAAAATTATTCTATTCTCTAAGATGAGGCAGTGAGTATGCATGAATATATCCACTATGCCTACTCTCTATAGGCCATTCCTAAAAGAACAATTTGGAAATTTCTTTAATTGTCTTGATTTTTGTTTTTGGTTTTTTTTTGATTTTATATTTTTATTTTTTTTCAATAGCTATATTATTGCGATCCGGTTCTATGTTTGCTATTGAAGTTCCTGATAAATTTTTGGCCACCTCATAAATATCATTTTCAGTTTCTATATTGTATCCGATTTGTAAGTATCATTTTATAGCATATGTTATTTTTAAAAAGTAGTTATATATTAGACTATATACTTAAATGCAGAGATGTTAACAAAAGTTTTAAAAGATTATGAAATTTAA